TAATGCCATTGTTTTTATGTATTATTTAGCTTTTCTATTGCGTTATACCTTCTATTTTTTTATCATTAACCAATTTTAATGTATGACCTTATATAAATTTTTAAATGTATTTTTCTACTGACCTGTCTACAAACTTTATGTTTCTTGAGACCAATAAAAATTATTATTATTATTATTATTAGATATGTCTTCATGTCTCCTTATTCCCTTTTCGTGTCTTTCTTACAACTTTCATCAATAATATATGCAAAATTACAGTTTTGATATTTAATAGGGTCACCACGCATAGTAAATCATTAATATATATGAGAAATAGTAGTGGTCCGAGTATGGAACCTTGGAGCACTTCTCTGATTGAATGCTTTGTAGTGACTTTCTCATTATCCTAATCATTATCGTAACCTCTCCAGACGAAATAATATTCGACATCCTAACCAGAGGAGGCAACATTGTCGAAACATGGAGCACGATCAAAGTCGCCTCGTCCGTGACGGGCAATATACCTCCGAACATCGTCGATAAGATCCTGCGCATGGTGCATTCCACTTACCCTCTGAACAAGCAACTCTGCATCGACATCTACAACTTCATAGTATGCCAAAAAATGACGGACCTCACCCGAGTCAACGAACAACTGATCACGCCACTGAGGACGCTCGCGATGTTCCGGGGAGACGAAGGCCCTCTTGCGCCGGTCCGCAACCTGAACGTCGGTATCAGCCCGTTGAGGAACAGGAACTCGTCAAGACCCGTCGCCTTGTTGGATGACGCCGCAGATCAGGGTTCTGACGTTGCGTATTCCAGCGAAGCGACCGTCAGGGCTTCCGGTAATTGTTATGAGAGGTCTTCGGGATCCAGCAGTAGGAGCGGCTTCGGAAACTACAATGAGAGGGCGGAGTCGTCTCCTCAACAGCAGCAGCAGGATATTGACTATTACGTGCCCCAGTCAACTGTTATGAGTGATGTTAACAGGTGAGCTAACGGTTGTTTTTCTCGTTTATTTGGTGTATTATTTTTTCGTTGAATTGTTTTGTCAAGTTTAGTCACCACGTTATCTTGCTGTACTCTCGATTTGATCTATAAGACAATGAGCATTTGGAATTGTATTGTATAGATTAGTCTTTCTCAAAGTGGGCGATAACGCCCCCTTATGGGCGCTGGAGGCTTATAGGGGAGCAGTAAATGACACAGAAAAGATTGGGGGATGTTGAAGCGGTTTAGGGGGCGATGACTAATTTAAAAATGTGTTTTTGCTTTCAACACAAACTTCACCGCTGCTTTACGTTTAACGCGCGTTATCTCGTGTAACGCCATCTAGGGGACTAAACAGTCCGATAGTTATCAAACTGTACAATAGATGGCGGTAAGCTTCAATACGAGCGAAAAGTGCCTAGTCTCCATTCTCGAAAGTACTAGGCCCGCCCGCTGCCTCATATGAAAGCGCGCGCGCCATCCAGCCACTAGTGTCATTCGACGATATTACGGAAACAAGTGAATTTAGTTCGCGACTAGCNTATACAAAAGCCAGTCCCGCAATTGTACCCTGGATTGTGGTCCATCGTTCAACGATTTTTGATAGCATTCCCATCATGGTATTTGCGTGAACGTGGATTTAGTGCTATGGCAACGTTGCTAACTAACAAGAGAAATCGGTTGTAGATTACCGAACGCGGTGACTTACGGCTGTGTTTGACTAAATTCGAGCCTGATGTTAAAAATCATCAAATTTAAATTGAAATGTTTGTTTTAATAACATGAATAAAAGTTTTCCTAATATTACAGAATGGTGTTTTACATTACCCTCGTCAGAAAGTCTTATTTTCACATGACTTGAAATAATGACTGCGATTGGATTCTTAAGATGTAGTAAGGTAAAAAAAATTGGAGGGCGCTAGAAAATAATTAATTCTCGAAGTGGGCGGTAGACACAATAAGTTTGAAAACCTCTATAGATGTACTGACAATTTCGAAACCTGTATGGGTCAAACCTGTTTAAAATCTGATTAAAATCTGTTTTTCCATTAACCAGCTGTCGCACCCCTACGAACGACAACTCTCAGAAGTCGAAAGTTGTGCGAGCACGGATTAACGAGGTCTTACCTTCCAACATGAAAATAAACATCATTATTATATAATAACTGAATTGTCATTTGATGAAATTTCATTTCCAGACCAAGCTATCGGACTACTAAGGACTACCAGGTACCGCATTCAGCCCCTTGCCAATCCACTTCTTCCACCTTATACCAGAGCTCCTTTCCACATCCCCCTCCTTTCACCCCCAGCTACTCTATCAACTCCGTTTCAACCCACACCTCCGTTTCGCCTCCCGCATTCGTTCCTCCTCCCATCTTTGTTCCCCCTCCCGCCTTTGTTCCCCCTCCCGCAATGTTTCCCCCTCCCACGTCGGTTCCCCCTCCCACCTCGATGCCCCCTCCCACCATAGATCACCCCCAAATCGACACCAGACCGATCTTTGGGTCTGCTAAGTACAGGTCCAACTTCAAGATTGACGTCTCGTTGCACAACCTCCTTCCCGACAGCATGGAATGCGTCAGCATGAACGAATACGATGTGATCAAGCTCAATGACGCCATCAAGAATAAAAAAGCCAGAGAATTTCTCAGACTGCTCGAGAATTACAAAGGGGCGCCAACTGTAGAGAGCTTCATCACTATGACGGTTGCTCACTTGAAGAGCTTGCACGACAACTGTAAGATAAGCGAAGCCGTATTCGGTTTGCTGAACAGTCTCAGTAAGTGTGTGTGTTCTTTCAATTGTGTCGATAACGGTCAACAGGTTTGTCCGATGTATTCATTGCACGAAGTTTCTCTTAGCTCGGTATAATATTGATATTTATTCATCATTAACTTATACATAGCTTGTACATGGTAGGTCACAAACGTGGTCACAAATTCAGTAGTAGTAGTACTTTATTAAAATATGACATATTAATATATGTCACAAAAAGGATTTGAAGTTTTATAACTCCTATTTATNAGGAAAATTAGTTGCATTATTCAAAAAAATATATATAAAATAGTACTTTCAATGTCTAGAAATCATTTTAAATAAAATGCCATCATTTTGTGAACAATAATCAAGAGTTGAACGAAAGTAATTTTTTGTGGAGGTATTCAAAGATTTTTTATCGATCCTTTTTAAGAATTTTCACCTTCCACAATCGCCCCTTCAATAAAAATTAACGCTTTTGCAATAATATCCAATGAATCAAAGTATCATTCTCTTAAAATGACAATTGTTTCAACGTTATTTTGGGAGATCCATGGGTTCTTTTTGTCATTTTTAGATTTTTCACTTCCAGAATCATAAAAATTTCAAAGATAATCACTATATCAAGTGGATCATGATATCAAAACCCTTTGACGATTCGATATAATGAATTAAAGGACACGATACCGTATCTATATAGACATCTTTTACCTGAATCTATGCTGGGAAGAGCTTACAAAATAGTTCTGTTGTGTATTTTTTGAGAAAACTGAAAATTTGCCTTATTTTTTTAATAGACCTCGTATGTTATAGGTTTTTAATTGAAAGCTATCATGTTTTTCGCAATTATAATAGAAAATTCGTGCAGCGGTCTTTCATTTGATATTCCGAGATTCTGAAATGAGACAATGTGGCGATATTTTTTCCAGCCACCATAAGATCTGATTATATGAAAGAAACGCACATCAAAGGAATTCTGGAGGTGATCGTATTCAACCTCCTCTTCTTCTTCGAGACAAGATGCTTGTGGAGGAATGCAAGGTCATTGTTGGAGATGTTCTACGATTGGGACAGCTTGATTTCTTCGAAGGTGAGGCTAAACAATGGCTCTAGCATGTTCAGCACTTGAGAGTTTCGTGACAGAAAAAAATGGTTACTTCTTAATTACGCAACTCTGTGTAATTAAGGAATGTCACTTTCAAAATCGAATGATGCATTCAAAATCGGTTTCACTTTGGAAATATCTTGAAACTCACAGTTAATCAATGTTAGTAGTTCAATAATCACTTCTGTGTTTCTGGTTTTTTGCATAATTATTGGCAATAGTGCTTTACTAATGATCAGTTTATCCTGTCTAGCTTTTATACTGTTGCACTCAATATATATACAGTGTGACCCATTTTTAATGGAAACACCCCCCTAAAATTTGAAGTTGTAAATCGATTTTATTAATTTTTTTTTTGAATGTCAAGTACTAAAAGGTCTACCTTGGGACAAAATTTGAAATGTTTATTAAAGTTTCAGGGCATACTACGATATTTTTTCTTAGTCGAAATTCGGGATTTTTCATTAGCGATTTTTTTATTGAAAAAATCACTACGCCACTGGATTCAGAGTG